GTGATCGACGGGATGTGAAATGTCTCTGCGCCGTGGACAAAGTGCGTCGCATCCGTCAGAGTAGCGACCTGTCGGTAAAGGCTTTCCAGACCAGCGAGACCTGGCCTGGAGTGGCCATTGGTAGCTCGTATGTGCATGCCTTCGTCCGCTGGGGGGACTTCTGAATAGTCGCGCGCAGCGCCGATTGTCGCGCTTCTGCGGTGGAGTTCCTTCATCTCTAGACGGTTTTCGGTTCGCCTGAGAGGTCCACCGCCTCCGCCAGCATCGTCTTCGCCAATGCGATGTGGTCCATGCTTGACTCGTCGGGGCTCATGTACTCCATGGCAGCACGGCAGCGGGGCAGCCCTTGCCCCCGCGCTGATGCGCGAGAATGTCAGCGAGGGAGGCCCAGCCATCAAAAATGTCGAAGGTCGGGCGCTCACGGAGAAACTTCTCGCTGCATCGGTTCTTGCCTTCAGCATAACAGAAGGGTCGGTGACGAAGTATCTCCGGGAACCCGTGGCTCGAGAGTGCGAGGTCCTCGCGATCAGGAAGGTTCCGCCTGTTGTTCGCCACGAGCGGCCCCCCCTACCTGATGGATCGCATGGGCACCTTCTTGCGGGGGAGGTTACGCGCGCGATGCAGGGTTCTCTCCGCGTCGTTGAGGCAAAGTCGTGCGCGCTTGAAATCGCACATGGTAACGCGGTGCCCGTCGGCATCCACAGTCAGATCATCATCGTCGTCGCCCATGGCGCGGTGCTCGACGGGCCGCGCGTTCGGGGGCGGCAGCTTCGGTTCACTGCTGGCGGCAGAGGAGGGGGCTCTGGCCCCTGCGCTGGGACGTCGAGGCCCCCTGCTGTCGGCGCCTCGCAGGGGGGGCCTCCAACCCCCGCGGCGTGCGTCCTGATCTTGAGACCACTGGGGCTGAAGAGCCGCCGCTTCCTTTGGCGACGGGGCTGACTCGCCGCTGAACTCAGCGGCGGCAACTGCCGCTTTTGGCCCTATTCAGCGCATCCGCGGTTCAACGGGGGGTGCCTTTGATGTCGGGTCCAAACCGGCGAATTTGGCTCGGCCCTTCGCAGTCGGCAGCAGGATTTCCTCTGACCGAGTGTTCTCCTTACCGACTCGGGCGCGTCGATCTCATCTGCGTGCTCGGGAATGGGGGTGGGTGATGTGTCCGCTCGTTCCCCGGCGCGTTTAGGGCGCTTCTTCTTCGCCTTTTTCTGGCTGGCCTGCTTCCAGCCCCGGCAGACCTTCCGCAAGGCCGAGCTAGTCGGGCTTGGAAGCAGTGCCGGCGCAGCCTCCGATGAGGCGGCCGCGCCAGGAGCACTTGCAGCGTTTCCGCGCTGGTCGGCACCGGCGTCGCCCTCTTCGGTTTCTCTAGCGTTTCTGCCGCCCCCATCCAGCATCTCCGCCCCCCCCCTCCCTCGCCTTCGCGACGCTGGAAGCGTGCGTCTCCAGCTCGTGGCGCGCGGGGAGGTCGGCCAGAAGCTGGGCGTTAGCGGCGCGTTCCATCTCGCTGACGGGGGCGCGGTGGACCTCCGAGGGCACGGGCACTGAGCTATCCCCGCCGTCGCCATGGCGCGGCAGCCGCGGTGAGACGCCTCGGTCGGGGGGCCTGCTGCCCCGGTCCACGGGGCAATTTGGGCGGCGCTCCTGCCGCCCGGAAACTGGCGCAAATGCAGTAGTCGCTGCGAAGATTGACGCGTTCCCGCCTGGCGTTCCGCTCGCCCTCGCGTCGGCGAGTGCGCGTCCCCGTGGAGATGCGCGTCATCCTGCCCCCCTGATCCCCATCGCAGTGCTGGGCAGCGCAGCAGTGGCGGATCTGGGTATCAGTCTAGCCTCGGCCGCGCCAGCAGCCCACGTCCTCAGTGTCGACGCAGGGGCCGTCCCAATCGGGGAGGGCGCGCCGCTTGATAACCGGAGGATGGGGGGGGGCGCATCCCCGGTCCGTCGTCGGGCTCCCCCCTTCCTTTTCCCGTCCGTCGTCGATGAACTCTTCCCCCTTGTCAAAATCACCCCACCCCACCCCGCCCCTTCTCGCCGCGCCGACCCCTGCTCCAGAGCCCCCCCCCCCCCCCCCCCTCCCCTGCCACCCCTAACCCTCTCTTCGTGTGATTGGACACCCCCCAACCCCCGCCCAGCTGGCCGACAGAACCCCCCCCCCGCCGCCCGAACTGTCAAACAACAATTCAAACTCAACATTTTTTCTCGCCAACATGTCTTCGAGCTGCGAGAGATGTAGCTGGAATGGGACGGACTGAACATCGCTTGGCGGCTCTATGTGAGCGGTCGCGCCCCACCTTTCACAAACGCAACGTCGTTTCTCGACAACATGGACTTTCTTGTCGTCGACGCTGCGAACAATGTAGCAGGACTAGGACGCGGCGCACATCGCGCGCGGACGCCTGACCAACCCTGCGCGGGACCCCCCGCCCTACCTGGCAAACAACACCACAGCGTAGACGTTTTTCCTGCGAGCATGTACTTTCTCCTCGTCGGCGATGCGAATCGCGCAGCGGGAATGGGGCGCGTCGCGCGTCGCGCGGGGGCGCCTGCTCGTCAACGTGGACTTTCTTGTCGTCGACGCTGCGGCCCGTCGGGTCGAGGAGCCTCTCTCCCTCCCCCCCTCCTCCTCCTCGCCCCCCCCCCCCCCCCCCCCCCCCCTCATCCATGCGCGGCAGGGGCGAAGCGATCTGCGGCGCAGCGCGCGTGGCTGGAATGGGACGCGGCGCACTTCGCGCGCTGGACACGTTGTCGCCGACGATGCAACGTGAGAGGCCGGAGCGGGGCGCGGCGTGCATCGCGCGCGTCTTTGTTTCTCGTCAACATTGCTCAATGCGCGGCAGGAATAGGAAGCAGCTCACGTCGCGCGCTGAACGTCTAGCCGCCCGCGATATAAAATGAGCGACAGGCGTCGGACGCGACGCACTTGCTTCTTATGTTGTTTGAGGGCGGGTAGGAGTGGACAGAGCTCTCTGGCTCGTTCGAGCTGGCTAACTTGACCCTAATCCTCACCCTGGCCACAGACCCTAAACCCATAGCCCCTAGCCCTAGCCCTGAGCAGTACTCGATACTCACTACTTACCACCCACTGCCTACTACTCAGTACTCGCTTCCTACTCACTACTCCTTACGCACTACTCGCTACTCACTACTCTATACTCACTGCTCGCTACTCACTACTTACTACTCACTGCCCAGTACTCACTACTCACTACTCACTAAATACTATCCACTACTTCCTATTCACTACTCCCTACTCACTACTCACTACCCATCACTCAGTACTCACTACTCACGACCCTCTACTCGCTACTCCCTACACACTACTCGCTACTCCCTGTTCGGTACTCACTACTCAATGCTCAATACTCACAACCCACTACTCAGTACTCACTACTCCCTACTCACTACACACTAGTCCCTACTCGCTACTCACTACTCACTACGCACTACTCACTACTCACGATTCACTACTCGCTACTCGCTACTCGCTACTCAATACTCCCTACTCACCACCCACGACTCACTACTCACTAATCACTACTTACGTCGCCAGGGTAATCTCAAAATCCTCGATCTTCGAGGGTTGGAAGCGGGAAAACGTAAGAAGGCGAAACACATTGGAAAAGCCATTGGAAATCAACGATTTTACCCTCTTTGGGCTCTCTCGGGACGGCTCTCGCAGCTCTCTTGGGCTGTTCTTGGAGCCTCGTCGGGGCCTCTCAGGGATCGGGGGTGTGTTGGGGGCCTCTGGGGGGTCCTGGAGGCCTCTCGGAGGTCTCTGGGAGCCTCCTGCTCCCGCTCCTGGGCCCATCTTGGGCCTGTTCTGGGGTGGTCTGGGGCTGTGCTGGGCGCCTCTTCGGCAGTCTTGGAGCCTTCTTGGCCCGTCTCGGGGCCGCCCTGAGGGTCTCTTGGGTGGTCTTGAGGCGGTCTTGGGAGCCTCTTCGGCGCTCATGGACCGTTGGAAGTTCGAAAACGCGAGAAGCTATCGGACCTCTCTTGGGGTCTCTTGGAGGCCACCTGGGAGCCTCGAGAGCCTTCGGAAGGCTGACTTGGGCTGCTCGGGAGCGTCTTGGACCCTTCTTTCGAATTCTGGGGGCTTCTGGGAGGCGTCTTGGGTCCTCCTGGGGCGCTGTGGAAGCTCCCTGGAAAGGCCGGGGGAGCAGTACCGGGAGCGTCCCCGAGATGTGGCGGGGAGGTGTGGGACCCATGGCCGGGGGGGGCGGTATGTATCTATATTATATAGAGCCGCGCGCGCGCTTCGCGCGCGCTTGGGTTCTAGCGCATGCCATGGCGTTGTTAGCTGCGCGTGCTTTTCGGACAGGCTCATTCCATGCCTTGCGTTACCTCGACCTCCAATATTCCTTATACGTCCTTCCTCGTTAACCCTCCAGACTCTCTCGGTTGTCCTCGCTTTTCGTTTCTCGTTCTTATCGACGGCCTCCTCTTGCTTGGGATTATGCGGGGGCTTCGAGCTGTTCAGGGCCGGCGTGGGAAGATATTCAATATGAAGTGGGCTGGCTTGAAATGTACGGGTCTCTCGTGGATCTTCCTGTTTGGGCTGCCTTGAAGGCCTTGGGGCCCGCTTGGGCCCCTCTTGGGCTCTTCTTCGAAGTTGTGGGGCCGTCTCGAGCCTCGGCGCCATGTGAAGCTCTCCCGAAGCCATCCGAAGGAGACGAGCGTGAGATTTCTTGAATATGGAAAAACCTAAATGGCTTTTGCGTTTGTGGCTCTCTGGGGTCATTTGGGAGGGCCTTTGGGAGTTCCACTGGGGCATCTTGTGGCCCTTGGGGGCCGCCTTGAAACATCTTGGAGCGTCTTGGACCACTAAGGGACCATCTTGGCGGCCAGCGGGCGTCCTCCTGAACCAGCTCGGAACCCTCTTCAGGCCGAAAGAATCACCCAAAGACCCCCACAATTGGGTTGTGACGGGGGGAGTTTGGGAAACGTGGGTCACCCCTGGGCCAACCCAGTCCCCTCCCCCATGGGCGGTCCCGTCGTCATCTTCCGTCGTCCGACTTCTGTCGCCCGTCCGCCCGTCATGCTGTTTCTCTATGACAGCTCTGCCGCGGGTCTCTTCTAACGCTTGCTCTGAGTGGAAAGTGCCTGGGATGCAGCAGCCAGCGCTGTACATGAGCTGCTACCTTGGGCTGCAGCTCGCTAGATGCTGCTGCGTGAAAGGCGCTGCTACCCTGGGCTGCAGCGCCATGCAATCAAATACCCCAGCATGATGTATCCCACACTGCACTTGAACGAGAGATGGACATGCTTGGTTCGCGCATGAATTTCTGTCCTGAATCCTGAACGGATGAGCATCTAGCCCAAATCCAAAATTCCTGGATTCCTTGGGGCCTTCGGAGACTCCGCGAAACCGTTAAGAAGCCGGGAGGCGCGGTACCGGCCAGATGTCAGGGGATGTGTAGGACCCCCGAGTAGGAGTTCCACTTTGATGAAACAAAATTCTTGGAACTCCTTTTTTTCCCAAATCCTCGATCTTTGAGGGTTGGAAGCGGGAAAACGTGAGAAGGCCGAAAAACATTGGAAGAAAAGCCATTGGAAATCAACGATTTTACCCTCTTTGGGCTCTCTCGGGACGGCTCTCGCAGCTCTCTTGGGCTGTTCTTGGAGCCTCGTCGGGACCTTTTTGGGGCCTCTCAGGGATCGGGGGTGTGTTGGGGGCCTCTGGGGGGTCCTGGAGGCCTCTCGGAGGTCTCTGGGAGCCTCCTGCTCCCGCTCCTGGGCCCATCTTGGGCCTGTTCTGGGGTGGTCTGGGGCTGTGCTGGGCGCTTCTTCGGCAGTCTTGGAGCCTTCTTGGCCCGTCTTGGGGCCGTCCTGAGGGTCTCTTGGGTGGTCTTGGGGCGGTCTTGGGAGCCTCTTCGGCGCTCTTGGACCGTTGGAGACTCGAAAACGAGAGAAGCCACAACCATTAAAAAAACATTGACAAGCTACGATTTTGGCCCCTTCGGGCCGTCCCGTGACACCTACCAGACCTCTCTTGGGGTCTCTTGAAGGCCACCTGGGAGCCTCGAGAGCCGTCGGAAGGCTGACTTGGGCTGCTTGGGAGCGTCTTGGGCCAACCTTTCGCATTCTGGGCCCTCCCGGAGCGCTGTGGAGGCTCCCCGGGAAGGCTGGGGGAGCAGTGCCGTGAGCGTCCCCGAGATGTGGCGGGGAGGTGTGGGGCCCGGGGCCGGGGGGGCGGTATTTTAGTCACACACCTATCATATATATATATATATATATATATATATATATATATATATATATATACAGCGATGTGTCTATATGTATATATATACATACATATACATATACATATACATAACATATACATATACATATACATATACATATACATACATACATATACATATACATATACATACATACATACATACATATATATATATATATACACATACACACATGAACCACGCGCGCGCTTCGCGCGCGCTTAGGTTCTAGCGTGTCACAGACACAGGAATCGTTGTGCGAACAAATGTTTGGAGTTTGTCTCAGGCAAGGGAGGAGGACTCCAGTGGCAACACCTGCTTGAGGCACCGCCGGGGACGGACCCAGTGTAGAGTGTGGAAAGTCGGACCAGCTCTTTGGTCGACCTTCTTGGGCGCGCCCTGGGGCTCTCTTGGGCCGTTTGGGGGGGCCTTTGGGGGGCTGTGTCGGGGCCTCTTTTGTGTTTTTTCGGGTCTCTTGGGGGCCTCTTGGGGCTTCTTGGGCGCTTCTTTGGAGCCTCTTGGGGTCTCGTGGGGGTCTCTTGGGCCAAACGCTCGAATCTTCGGTTCCTCGTCCCCGTCTTGGGCGCCGACTCGGAGCGTTCTTGGGTGGTTTGGGCGCCTCGGGGGCCGTCTTGGCCCCCTGGTGGGCCGTCTTGGAGCCCTCTTGGGGGCATCATCGACCGGCTTGGGTGCCTTTGGGGCCGTCTTGGACGCAGTGGAAGCCCACAGGGCGAACACGCCAAAAATACAAGTTTCCCCATCGGACATCGACGATTGTTGCTGATTGAGGGTCTATTGGGGTGCCCCTTGGGGCGCGTTCGGGAACTATTTTTGTGTTTTTGCGGGTCTCATGGGGACTTCTTTGGGCTTCTTGGGCGCTTCTAGGAGCCTCTTGAGGTATCGGGTCTCTTGGGCTAAATGGCTCGCATCTTCGGTTCCTCGTCCCCGTCTTGGGCGCCGACTCGGGGCGTTGTTAAATGGTTTAGGCGTCTCGTGGGCCGTCTTGACCCTCTCAGCGTGTTTCCCCGCAGAACGCTGAGACTTGCTGTTGCCAGGATTGGGATCATCTGGGCTGTTCCTTTTCTTCTGCTTAGGCGGTGGCGCAATCTGATCGGGTTCGAGCGACTTGCGCTGGCTTGAAGAGTACGAAGATGGGGATCGATATATTCCCGTATTTGGCGTCAATTTGGGGGGATGTCCCTTTGGCTTTGCCGCTGCGGGTGTCCCCGCTGAGGAGCGTCTGGTCTTGCTCCCGGCACTAGGGACATCCAGCTAACCAAGCTTTCTGAGTGCAATGTTCGTGATCTTGACATTTTTCTTGCAACCCAAATCATACATATCAGCTGCAATCTGTGTTGCAAGAGTTTTATCCAAGCTACCCCTGGACCGTGGTAGGCGACTATCCTGCCAGGGGCGAGATTCAAATCTTCTGCAACCCAACCACAAACATCTATTATAGTATCGGCGTCGTGGGTGTAGTCCGTGTCAGAGGTGCAGGCCGTGCCGGAGTAGTCCGAGTCAGACCCTGAAGGAACAGCCTCGGTGGGGTCCACTGCCCTGGCAAAGACCTGGTTACCAGCCCCTTCATCACCTTCTGGCTGGTCGGCGCCTTCTTGTTTGGACGAAGCGGGTTGCCCCGCGTGGCGCTGTCGATTGTATACCGTAAGATAATGATTTAGAGCAAGGTTTTCCCGGATCTCGTCGGTGCGAACTCTTTTCATGCTCATCAACGGGCTGGTAGTCATCTTCCGTCAACTGTTCTTCAAGTGGATGATCGGTCGGAGCTACAGCGTGACCCCGACCGTTGCCGCGGGGCCAGACCCATGGTGTTCTTTGGAAGATAGGGCTTCTTGACGGACGCCTCATCGGGCAATCAAGACTGCGGTCGGCATAATGATAGCGAGTACAGACAAAAGCCCGGCACTCCTTACGGTCACTGATGACGGCCCTCTCGAGGCCCCGTTTCTGAAGGGCCTCCTGCGTCTTGGTGCCCGCGCCTGTTTTGGAGCGGGGAATCTTGCCTCTATCACCCCGCGCAACTTTGCAAAGCGAATGCCAGTGGCGAATGTCACGCTCGGCCCAGCCTTGGCCGAGCCAATATTGCATTGTATTAGGAGGTATGCGCTGGCGAGCTAGTCCATGATCGTCGCAGCTGACAAGGCGTTGCGCGCCCCGTGCCTGGGGCGCGGCTTGGCGGCCATCCCTCTGGGGCGGGCCCCCCCGCAGGCGCTCCCTTTTCGGTGGGGCCCCAAGTGCGTTATAGCATGCGGGGTCCTTGGGGCCCTCGCATCGGGGGGTGAGGGCGCCGGTTGCCGCTGGAGCGAGCACCGCTGGAGCGCGCGCGAATGTCCGCGCGAGTAGCTGCGGGCGCGACCGTGACGCTGCGCGCGCCGGTCCTCCGCTTCCCACTCGTCTTCGCCATCATCTGTTGGGCGGGGGCAAGGGGCCTGTAAAGCGTGCCCACCGCAAAGCGTGCCCACCTTCCACAGTTCGGGAAGGTGTTCCGCATTTTTTGGAATGCTATTCCGCGCAGTATTCTGTGCGTACCGTTTCATGGACCTACTCACGCACGGTCGCCAGTCACGCAGGGGGGCCATGTCAATTCGCTCAACCCCGTGGCGCGGCCCCAGGGGCCACCGAAACACGCGGCGCATATTCTTTGCAGCGTGCGTGCCAACTTGTAAACGCTAGAACACGCGTGTGAGTTTCACTCGGGAATATTACACTGCGCAAGCACAAGTGCACTTCTGTTGACGTTTTCTGACACCCGCGCAACCCCAACGCGCAAAGGGGCAAACACGCGCGCGAAGGGGGCAGTTTTGCTCAATGCACCAGCGGCTGGCACCAAACACATTGGGAAGCGAACCAATCTATTATATTATTCTTCGATGTCTTCACAACGATGCTGAACCGATCCGCATGTGCCTGCCAGCCTTGGCGGCGCCCTCGTCCGTGAGCACGCGCTCCACGCCAGTTTCGTCGAGCACCTTGGGTCTCGAAGACGGCTCGGGGGCAGAGTTGGTTTTCGGCCCCCACGACGCGGTCGTGGGCCGCACCTGGTCCTGGAGCCCCAAGACAAAAGCAATGCCATCGGGTCTTGGGCCGACCTGGTGGCTCTGCGGTCTCCTACGGCGCCCTCGGGGGATTCCTGAAGGCCTCCTCGCCCCTCCCACAGGTTCGCCCCCTGGAGCCCGAGGGCCGTTGCCTCGGTGGAAGAGAACCCCACAGGGCTCCAGGCGAGTGCCTGCTTCCCTGGGGCCACGTCCCAGAGCCCCTCCCGCGCCGCGGACCCCGTCCCCGCGAGTCCCGGAACGGTGTTCCTGGACTCGCGGAATACTTGCCCGCCGGCTGGTTTGGGGGGTACGCTTTACTGGTCTGTTCGCCGCCCAGACCCTGGTGGGTGCGCTTTCCTGGTCTGTTCCCCGCCCAGACTGGGGCGGGTGCGATTTCCTGGCTTGATCGCCGCCCATGGGGGGCGGGATCCCTGTAACTGTCCTTTCAGCGAGCCGAGGCCCGGGTGGGTTCGCTTTACTGGTCTGTTCCCCGCCCAGAGAAATAGCGTCCCTTGGGTGCGCTTTACTGGTCTGCTCGCTGCCCAGGGTCGTGGGCGCGCTTTCCCGGCCTGTCCGGCCTCCAACGCAAGCGCCCCGGAACTGTGTTCCGTCGAGCGCGGTACATTGTTCCGCGCGGAGGGGAATTCAGGCCCCCTTCCGCAGGGGCCCTGCCTCCAGGTCACACGGACCCCGAGGAGGACCCCGAGCCCCCTGGGCATGCCAGGACGCGGGCCCCCGAAGCAGCTCCAGAGACACAGCCCCAGACGCCCAGGGACGAAGGATGGGGGGGGGGGGCGATGGGCGGAGTCGGACTCTGGAAGGACGGGGGGAGGACGGAAGAGGGGGCGAGGAAGAGGGAGAAATGGCGAAGGGGACGGAAGGGGGAGAGGGGCGGGAGGAGAGGGATATCAGTGAGAACAGAATGAGGCAAGGAGAGAGGAGGGGGGAACAGGGAGTGCGGAAGGAGGAAGGAGGAAGGAAGAGGGAGGGAGGGAGGAGACAGGA